AGAATTATTAGTCAAAAAAGACTACAAGGGGTATATTTTCTCATATCCTCAAAATTATAAGGATATTATTTTTAATTCTTTGTTAATATCATAGGTGGAAAGTACAATCTCTAATTTGTATTCCATGTTTTTTAGTAAATTGAAAAACTTCATGCTTAATCCTTTGTTATACATCCTCTTTCATGAATTACTTTTCATTCCTTTAATCATTTCTTATATTACAAAGATTAACCCTGTGTACCGCTTTGAAAATATCTTTACCAGTTTGTGATTTTGCTATGGTTATCATTTTTTTCCTACAGTAGTATTTGAAGTGTATGTTTTTAATTATCTACTATATCGACCCTTCTATATGTTTTCTGTTTTTAAAGTTGACTGGAAAACTTTTCAGGTTTTCTTTAAGATTGTATTAGCTATATACTCTGGCACAAAATATAAAGGTGCAAGTATATATAAGAACTTAAAGTAATTTGTTCAATCATTTATTCATTCATGCATATTCATTCTTTCATGTATACTGAGCACATATATTAAACTGTTCTAAATGATGATAAAGCAGTGAACAAGACTACCAAAGTTTCTGTTCTTATTCAGTTACATTCCCAGAAGAAAATGATGCCTTAAAATATTACTCAATGTGGCATTTTAAATTGAGAGGAAAAGAATAGATTGATTATTCAATATACAATTCTAATGCAATTAGGTAATCATTAAGAAGAAATTTTAAACTGAACATCAAGAGTATTACAAATGGAGTGAAAGTCTGAATTTCAAAAGTGTATCCTTGCAAATAGGAAAAAAAATAACCAAAAGTGACTGCTACATTTATTATATACCTTCTTAAACATGAAAACTAAAGTGAGACAGTTTTGGAAATGACATCTTATTTTTTAATGGAATAGAACAAAGTAATTTTTGGATAGTAATCTTTATTAGTGTATTTTCCAAGATACATATAATCCTGAGCTACTCCATTGATACATGTATCATTTACTCTTTGAAGTTTACATGTATTTTGTTTCAAACTCTCTGGTAAGTACATTTTTATATATTAGTCAGGAACATAAATAATTTAAAAGATTAGTCATATCCTTGAAATTACCAATTAATTTGTTCAGATCATCTCACCTAATTCAACTACATGAAAGACTTTAGAACATTATTTTTCAATTAAGCAATTTCTTTTCAAAACTGCAAAGATGGGCAGTGAAAGCTGATTCCATAAATGCTAGCATATTTTTAGAAAACTATGTTGCTATTTATCTCTGATCTGTTTTCTTAAATTGGATAATTATCTGACCAGTTATATTTAAGAAAAATGGTAAGAGTACCTCTAATTTTATTATCTTAACAAGTGCAAATATCATAGGCTTCTTTCAGATATAAGTGGCACATAATTATCCAAATAAGAAAAATTTACCATGATCTAATAATGAAAAGGAACATAATCAGATGTAAATATATCTCTGATGAAATGTTCAAGTAAAAATATGTTCTGTGAAATCCTTTCTCTGGTCTCTATAAAGGAATACATACAGCTGATTAACATTACATTCCATAAATCCAGACCAGATTTATTATAATTGACAAATGAAAAGACAGAAATGAAAGACCAAAACTATTGTGATTATTGTGAAAAGATATTTATCCAACATCTCCAACGGTGGACAAATAAATATCATTTTCATATTTCAAATTACTATCAAAATATTGTATCTTTCTACAAACAACACAAAACAGGCATACAGTATCTAGAAATGTTTCTCTGTCAAGAACGTCTCAAGTTTTTGTAAGTACACTCAAATTTTTTTTCCTGAATTAAGGTCACTATTATGTTAGGTTAAAATATCTATAAGCAGTTCAAGCAAAAATGAATATTGCTTAGATTATAAAGCAAGCAATTTTGGTAGTGTCATTAAAATTTAACTATAAATGTGAAACTATAGCTGAAACATTTATAAACACTTATAGGGAACACTCACAGATCAGCAATATGAAATAACATTAATGAAATAACTAAATAAAACAAATGTGATATAATATGGAAGGTTTGGAGACAGATCCAAAATATCTTTGCTTTAAAAGGACATACAAACACAGCTTTTTTTTTCTGAGTTTGAATATCCAGCAGCAAAAAAACTTTGCACATAATGTAGTGCAATGACATTTATTTGAAAAAGACTCCCAAAGTCTTAAAACTTATTATACATAAACCAGAATTGAATCCATTAGAATAAATGATTTAAAGATGTCCAGAGTAGCCTATCAAGAACTGCTAGACACTGTACCACTGAATCATACGTTTATGCAAAACTGTGTTCTGGATAACTGACTCTTATGGCTCCCCAGTAACAAGCTCGAATAAGGCAGATCAAACCCAAGAAATAAGCAATGGCCCAAGAAATGTAGGTTGCACGAAATTGCCTTGCAAAATCTTGGGTGCCAACCTAAAACAAAAAAGAGTTTTACAAGATTAGAAACTTAGAAAATATCTGCTTAGAGAACTTGTGCCAGCTTACACATGGTTTGTATTATATTTATCTCCAAACTAAAGCTGCAAAAATCCCTATAAAATGTGAGTATGTTTATCTATTGGCTGTAACTGACCGATAACACTGCTACTTATACTTACTATAAACTTTATGAAATAAATGAGAAAGCATACTAAATACATTTCATTAAAAAGGCATTTAATCTCTGAAACTCCTTACTATTGTGTGACACAGTATAGCGTTGTTAATAATGCAGGAGCAGGTACACTGAAGAGTGCGAGAGCATGGAGAAAAGTTGGCAGCAAAACATTTATTAGTTCCATCTAGTATTATCCCCATGCCAATTCCTTAGATTCAGTCTCTTCTAAAAATAAGCCAACTATCAATTACCAATAAGCCATTGGTAATAGATTTCTGTTTGACTTGAATAAAAATAAGAATGATTTTTTAGACTTTCATATTTAAAGCATAGTTGCTTTGAAGATCAAATACTCTATAGCCACACAAAGTTGTTTCTGCCACTAACTAAAAACAAATGGGCTCCTATAAAATGAATGGTTAATTCCCTAGTGCTAAGGACTTTCAAAGGGATCCAAAGACAGCATTTTACTTTGATAAATAAGCTCCATTAAAAATAGATCTATGATTCTGATTGCCCATAATTCTTCAGAGGCGTCTGGACTTGGCAGGCTAGGGAGGTCGCCTTCTTAGGGGTCTTTGGAGGTCATCCTAGGCCTCATCACTGACTACTGCTGGCAAAGTTGAGAGAAAATAATTTTATCAAACAGTACTCACAGTTAATCCAACTCCAATGAAAATACTTATCATTCCAATGGTAATGTACGCACAACAGCGCCTCCTGGGAAGTGCACTGCCCACTGAAGAGCTGCAAATTCATAATATTAAAACAGAAAATTAAACTTTTGGGTAAACCTTATCCATGTCATCTTTGTGAGTTCTATTTATTATGGTACTAAATAAGGAAAGTGAAATAAAAGCTGCTAGCAACCTGCTGCCTTTCCTTCCTGCGCTGCTCACCCTCAGTTACTCTGTTTTTAGGTGCTGGTGTTGCCAGTTAGTTCAGGTCTCATTAGGAGCAGAGCACCACTGCATTTCATCCTCATCATTTTGACCTCTGTTATAAACAGTGCCGCCCTGTGACTTGTGATTTCTCCTTCTAGAGTTAAGGAAAAAAAGATCACTTCATTCATGTGACTGTCTTCAGCTACCACTTCAGTTGCTAGAAGCCAGGGAATGAGTCTCTTTAGGGTGCATTTACTTTGTAATGCTCATTGTAGTTCCTGATACATAGAACCCACTAATAAATAAAATTTATGAAAATTGGCCCCTGTCATTTTTCAAAGTTTAAAACACTGACATTTTGGATGTGTTTCTATTTTAAAAAATAATAAATAAGTAGATAAAATATCTCAGGAATGAAAATATGTCCTAATGTAGCAGAAAAAGGAAAGAGATTTCAAAAGGTCTTACCTTTAAGGAATATATTTGTAGTATATAACCTAGCATGTTTTGCATTGGATTTATATACCTCTTCTTCTACTTTTTAGACTATTTTGAAGAGCTTAGATTTAACCTAGTTTCAATAATTTAAATTTTAATTATTTTGGTCAAACACATACATGCTTATAATTTGAAGGCAATTATTTTACAAGAATGAAAAATTTAAATTAATATGATGTTTATCTTCTGCCTTTCTTTAGTCAACTACTTTCAATTTTAGCTGATTATTCTGTTTAATTGCATATTCAGAAATATTTGTTTTATAAGTAACATCATTGGATTTCAGCATTATCTATTTATTATGGCTTCAGTAGCATTATAATTTCTTCAATTTAATAGATAACCTGTATAACATGATATTTTCAGTGAGTGATAAAATCATGAATGATGAATTGGTGATATTATTTTGGCTTTATATAAATTTCAAGCCTTGGTTATTGACAGTATCTACAAAAAATTACTATGGTCCCTAACATCTAAGGTATTTATAAAAAGTCTATTCTGAAATGAAAAATCCATACTACCTTACAAATAGCAGTTGTTCTTTATAGCCATAGTAGTTTATGTTTAGTGTATGTGATGATTAATTTAAGCATTCCACAGCATCAGATTCAAGTGGGAGCTGGCTGTTGCAGTGGGTGGTAGAAACTGCAGGCCCTCTTCCAAGGTAGAGATGATTTTTTTTCAGAATTTCTCCATTTGTTTCAATATCAGCACTGATACTCCATATGCGCTCAGGGCCACTGCTGCCTGGGACTGAAACACTAGCATTGTAGTCTGTAAGGAGAGCCTTAATGTTCTTGCTTCCTTTTCCAATCACTGCCCTAACATTCTTGCTCTGAAGCAGAATTTGTAATTCAACCATCTCATCTGTCTCTAGATCTTTTAAAACGCTTGCTCCTCTTCCATATCTTCTGCAAGACGTCTACCAAATTCACCATTGGTTTCAGTGTTGGGGAAGGTTTCCTCTGGCTGCTCAGTTCCCATTTTCTTGTATTAAGTGGACACCCCAATCTATAGACCGCAAACAAGTGGGAACAAGCAGGATGCCAAGGTCGGTGCAGCAGAGAAGCAGAGGATAATGGCAGCCACAGTGCCTTCGTCCAGAGTGCCCTCCTCCTCTCTCATTTGCTCACTTACTAATATTTCCTTTTAATAAGTACATATTTTTTAAAAAATTGATACATACTTCAAATATATATTTCCCAGGATACTTTAACCCCAAGATAAGTATCTGCATGATCTGAGGAGCTCATGATTAATTACTGTCTTCAACAGATTACTACATAGAATTATCTAGAGCATATAGAATTCATTGCCTTTATGCCATACTTACCCTTATACTTCTTTAGATTTTTAATTCTTATGAGTCAATTTCATGTATTTTCCTCTCTTATACATCATAGCTGGTTATTTCTCTTTAGTATTTGTATATGTACATCTGGCAGTCTCTAACCATATATTAGAAATAAACTGAGTTTTTCAGACCTATATACTGAATAAATCACTAGTTCTAAGTGAATATTAGAACATTTTTTCTGTGAGCCAAGAGAATAACTTGAGTGCATTTATTTCAGTATGTGAATTCTGCTTAGATATTCCTGACATTTTTTCATTTCTTTGTAATTCTAAACAATCTTCCTAAAAAAAAAAAAAAGACTCTACTGCTTTTCTACAACACAGATGCCATCTCACCACAGGGATAGGACCAACGAGCACTTATTGCATGAATAACAAAGTCTCTTAACCATTTAATACATATGTGCTATGTATATGCACTATGCAGGATTATTTTGTATTAAAACTGCATGTATATGTGTTGAACTTTGTTTCTATCATTTGTTTTTTTTTCTGTGCTTTTAGAGATTGAACCTAGTATGTGAACATTTAGTTCATTCATTTTCATAACATTAATTCACTATATGAATATAATACAGTTTACTCATTCTCCCTGTGGATGGACATTCAGATTATTTTATTAATATTTTGTTGTTGTTACAGCAATATAGTAATATTTTGTTGTTCTTAATATTTTGCTTTGAATACTCTTTTATATTTTTGCATTTATATATTGTCTCCATTTCTAATTTTAGTAATTTTCAAACTGATACAAGCAGATTAAACAGCCAAATTAGACTCATTTCCCTGCCTAACTATACATGTATTTATTAACACACAGCAGGCAATGTTAGTGAATGGCATAATGAAGCATTACTTTTATACATACCAAGGGCCAAAACACCTAGATATAAAAAATGCTGAGTTGTATCTTTAATACATAGTAAATTTATACCTCCAACAAAACTAGGAAGAGCTATCATTGCTCCATCCCAAATTCTCATCAACATTTCAATGCTTTTTATTGTTCTCATGTTTAAAACTTTTTTGGATAAGAACAGTATTGAGAATAAATCTGGATAGATCTGGTTTCTAACAAGATTGAACATTTCTTCAAATGCTCTTTGGCTTTTCTTTTCGTTTTGTTTTGTTTTGTTTTGTTTTGTTTTGTTTTGTTTTGTTTTCTTTTGTAGTACCAGGGATTGAACTCAGAACATTTCACTTGCTAGGTAGGTGCTTATGCTGCTGAGCTATCTCCTCAGCTGGCTATTTTTCCAACTAATTGTTCATGTCTATTGTACTTTTGTCTAGAGATATCTTTTACTAACTGATTCACATATTTGTATACTCTAGATACTAGGACAGGCCACTACATATATTGTGTGTATCTTTTTATAGGTTGTGGGTTTTTTAATTTTTTGAGATAAGGTATTGCTTTGTAGTTCAGGCTAGGCTTGAACTCACAGTATAGACCAGGCTGGTCTCAAATTAGTGGCAATCCTCTTGCTTGAGCCTCTCCAAATGCTGAGATTAAAAAGATGTGCCAACAAACCCAATTTGTAAACTGTGGCTTTTAAAATTTAATATCTTTTCATGAAATTTTTATTTTTAAAAAATCAATGTAATATAAGGTAATTTTACTATGGTCAAAATGATCTTTTCCTTTAAGGTTTGTGCTTTCTTAAACATTATCTAGGGAATTCTTCCTACCTCTAAAATAAAAATATTGTTCCTTTAGAAGTATTTTTTAAAAATACCCTCTTAAATTTATTTCCTGATCTACAAGAACATAGTTTGTGGAATTTCCAATTTTTATTTTACATATGTTGAAGTAATATTGTTTGGTATCCACAAGGTCAGAATTTCTTATAATGTAACTTAAGACTTTTAAAATTTCTTTTATTTATTTGATACAGTGTCTCGCTACACAGCTCCTACTGGTAGTGATCCTTCTGTTTCAGACTCCCGAGAACTGAGATTGCAGGTATGCTACACCACACCCGGAAGGCACTGCGCACCAGTGCAGCATATGGTACTAGGGATTAAACTTGGGTCCTTGAACTTGCCAGACAGGTGCTTAGATTGCCGAGCTATCTCCCCAGCCCCATTTTTTTTTAATACTAACGAGAATGGTATATGATAAAACATGTGATAAAATCTTGTTACGGAAATGTAGATTATGGCAGTTTATATTTTTGTTTTATATATTTTTTATATTTGAGTGCACTCTCATTTTATTTTTTATATAAAATAAAAAATGTATTATGTTCATAACTTTCATACAGTTGACAACATAGAGAGCACTAAAGATTGTCATACATGTCACATATATACACATCAAAAAGTCTCACTGAAATAAGAAACAAAATGAAGGATCAAGAACAGTGGTCTGAAACCTACTCATAGGCTTTTAGGATTTAACAAATAACAAGAAGAATGACAATACATTATACAAGAGCACATATTTTCACATTAAAAACAGTAAAAGCTACATAACCAAAATCCAAACCTAAACATTAATACAAAGAAAAAGAAAAAAAATCAAAATCAAGAAGTTGATTAGAGGCCAAATGAAGATCTATCAGTTAAATACCTATTTTAAAGAACTACCTGGAACATAACACAAAAAGTGATATATACCAATAAGATTTCTTAGTTTTCTCATATGCTTCTCTAGAATTCAAAGAAAAGTTTTTGTTTAATAATGGGAATGTGATATAAATGACTTTTTCTTTTTTAAAAAAGTTGCATAATTAGTTTTTAATTTTATTTATTTATTTTTTTGTGGAACTGGGGATTGAACTCAGGCCCTTGAGCTTGCCAGAGAAGCACTTATTCTACTGAGCAGTCTCCCCAGCCCCATTTCCATGATTTGAGAAAAATGTACACATGTTTATTGTATAGACATATTCCAAAACTAAGATGTATAGTATAGAATATCCTTTCTTTTTTAGTATATGACTTCTCAAATTTCTCCACATCCAAATTGATAAGGATTTTGGAAGCATCTACATCAAATTCTAATCT